TCTCTGTCTGTCTGGCAAGCGCACGTGCCCTATAGCAAAACTATCTTTAAAAAAAAAAAAGCCCGTCCTGGGTCAGCAGGTCCTGTGGAGGTTAATGCAGGATAAGGCACATGGATGACTTTGTGGTTCGAGTTCCCAACGTGGTGGCTTGAAAGTCACACCAGGCACCTGTGGGTGAGTGCCAAAATTCCAAGAGAATGGAGGAAAAGAGACTGCTGTGTGGCCACCCCTAGGGGGTTACTTCTCAACTTTCTCTCTCTGTCCCTCCCCAGAAAACACACGTGTCCTATAGCAAGGACTTAAAAACCAAAACCAAAAGTAACAACAACTTCTAGAACACCCAAGCAAGCTGTGGCCAGCAGGTAGCATGGTGATGGGGATGCTGGACTCCCACATGGCCGACCATGGTTCAAGCCCCAGACCGGGCAGCCTGATTTCTCACCTCTTCCCTCCTTCCACGAGCGCACATAGAAAATTTAAAATATAATAATTTAAACAATTAAGTAAACAAGTATATTTTTATAAAGCCCACAAAACAAAAAGAACCAACGACCACACTACAGCCGAGGTAGACGGGCGAGCTCATACTAGCACTGTCGCAGCCCTCCGCTGCCATGTTTGCGGGGTCCCCTCACAGCCTTTCTATCTCCATTTCACCAGTCAGGGCACCAAGGCACAGGAGGGGGAGGACGTGTCGGTCACACTTGGCCAGAAGCCGACGTGAGATCTGAGCCCATGACCCTAAACATCCTTCACGTCCAAGTCTTGCTCTGCCCTCACCTACACCTGCCCGTGGGGCCAACGCCCTCTGCCCTGGAGGACCGCTGTTTTCCAGGACACAGAGGCCAGCCACGGCACCACTAGCTGGACTGGCTGCGTGGCTCTGCTCGGCGGGACTGAGATGGGCCGGTATTCCATCAGCCATCGGGCTGCAGGCTAACAACAGGACTCGCCCAGCGGCCCTCTGGGCTCTCGGGCTGGGAGCGACACCCTTGCCTCCGGCCCCGGGCCGGGGCGGAACGTGCTGCCCACCTCACGGCCCCAACTTGCCCATGGCCTGTTGGGGCTCTGGCCGTCGCAGTGGCCTGAGCGGATGCCCCAGCAGGTCCCCTCGGGTATGTCTCTACACATCTGATGGTCTATCTCCCTGGAGAGCCCCGACTAATGCCAGGAGTTGTCATGTCTGGAGATGGAAGAGCTGCTGGCATACAAGGGCCTTGTAAATACCTGAGACAAAACCTCGGCAGACCCACGCAGGCGCGGCGGGAGGCAGGCCTGCCCAGCCACGACACCAGGCCGCCCGACTCACCACGAACACGTCGCCCTTGGCGCCATCCTTCTCCACCACGTACCAGGGCTCCTGCAGGCCGCCTATCCGGGCTCTCTGGCCCAGGGTGTACAGGAACCAGCCTGGGGAAAGATGGTTTCCATGAGGCCTGGGAGGGGTTCCATTGCGAACTCCCCTAGCAGGGCAGAGGGCAGGGGTGCAATGAGCCGGAGGGGCTGTGGACCACCAGGGCCAACCCGGCCAAGCACCTGAGCGTGCCCCCTCCCCACCAGGGATGAAACGGCGGCACAAGGCTGCAGTGGTGTCTGAGACCGCCCCTCACTCCCTGGAAGAGCGCTGTGGGACCCCTGACCCCAGGAGCAGGACAGGCCCTTTACGATGAGGGCTGAGAGTCCTCTGATGCCAAAGCCCTTCCTGCGCAGCCCCGGTCTATCTGCGGCCACGTGCGCCCTGCCCTGGAGCGTAGTGTGCAACACGGCGGCACGGCCAGCCTCTCTGTGCTGCTCTCTCCTAACTGTGCTGTGCATCACGAGGCCAGGCAGGGAGCTCACCGCGTGGCACCAGCTCAGGAGGACAACTCGGAAGCACTCACTGCAGCCCCTGGCGTGGCGGCCGGACAGCTGAACCACAGCATAGGCCAGCCTCCCACCCCGGCAAGGCCGTCATCTCCCCAGCCTCAGCAGCCCCTGTCCACGTCACGTCCCGACTCCCTCGAGGCAGGTCTCCAGAGCGCAGCTGGTAGTGAGGCTCCCCACATCTGAGCCTGTCCTGTCCTGCTGTAGCCCATCCCCCAGGTCAGGCCTGCACTGGGCCAGGGTCACCGGCCATCAAAGCCCGGGCACCCACTGCAGAGATCAGTGACAGCACGGACTACCACACCCAGGGCCATGAGCACTGGGGGCTAACAGTCCCCTCCTGTGCCAGGACAGTGTGGTGCACGTCTGTCAAAGAGCAGCACCCCGCAGAGGGGCACCTCTCCTCTGAGCAGCACCCCTGCCGAGCAGCAGACCCCGAGAGTGGCACCCCTGCTGGACCCATCTCTGCGGGGCCCTTGCTGCCCGAGATGCTACAGTCAACCTACTTCCTTCCTCAGGGGGGCTCTCTGAAGCTCTATATGTGAAAATTCGTATTGGCAGGGATTAATGCATAACTGCTGGCTTAAAAGGTTCGGCCATCAGCAGGAGGTTGCATCTCGGAATGCTCACCCCCTTGTTCACCCTGCAGGGGACGGGTGTCTGGTGTCTGGCCTAACAAGCAGAGCCAAGGCTCACGCAGGACCGGAGGAGTTGAAGACAAAAAGCTGTCTGGGCTGCCTCTCACCTTTGTGCGTGCCCAGCACTCTCCCGTCTTCTATGGAAACGAACCTGCCGGGACGCGGCTGCAGGTACTGGAAGACAAGCACCGGTTACAGCCACGGTGGTGGCGGGCAGCCCGCGAGCCCCACCTCTGCATACTCACCTGAAGGAGGAAGTGCTCAAAGTTCCTCTTGCCGACGAAACAGATGCCCATGCTCTGAAACAACAGGACAGCCGACCGTGAGGAGTGGCGGGTGGGAGGTGTCCTGAGCGGGGACCCAGGCCAGAGAGGCCGCGTGGCATCCGCATACTGAGCAGGGTCTGGCTTCCCTCCCCAGCTCCCCAGCCCAGGTCACAACCCGTGCATGGAACTCCAGGGGCCGCAAGCCTGTCTCGTCACCCTCTCACTCTCGGGTTTATTCAAGCCCCCACACCGTGGCTCCTGTCCCGGAAGCGTGACCGCATCAGGTGCAAACTTGGGGGTCAGGCCCTGTGCTGCACAGGGGCGCACCAGCTGCCCCAGGGAAGAAAATGAACTTGGGTAAGTGCAGCAAGCCACTGTCCTGAGAGTGGCAGGGGACAGGCAGGGGCCTGACAGGGCCAGGCAGGAGCAGGACACAGCAGAGCCAGGCCCAAGGTCCAAGTCCGGGGGTGCGGCGCAGGGTCGGGCCTCTCGCCACTGTGGCACTGGCCACCTAGCGTCTTCTAGTCTCTGCTTGCGTCCCTCCAGTGTGGGTCCTGAGGGGGAGCCGCCCCCGCCCTCCACTCAGCAGTTCCTCAGCCCCTACCCCAGAGCAACACCAGGAAATGGGAGCATTCTAGGGACAGTGACGTCTGGTAAAGTCGCAGCCACGCCCACTCCCAGGGAGACAGCCCAGAAGCGGCTACAGCTAAGGCTGCATCAGGCTCCAAAAGGGGCAGACTAGACAGCCTAGTCTGCAGCCGCCAGGCCACTGCCACCCCCTCGCCTCTGTCACACACCCCTGGCACTGGCCTCCCCTTCCCTCCACCGGCACCCCAGGCTGGCTGGCCTCGGGAGCTCAGCACGTGCGTGTCCCGCAACCCAGCAGGCTCTGCCGGCTCACCCCCAGGCCCGAAGCGGAGTGCAACTCCTCGGAGACCTTTGGGCGTCCCTCCCTAGTGACTGCAGGGACAGGCCTGTAGTGGCCTCGTCAGCATCCCCTCGGCACACTGGGGAGACGCTGGGTGAACGAGTGCTGGGGGAGAGGTGGAAAGCAGGTCTGTGTGGGCGCCGTGGAGCCTGCCCCTTACGGGGAGGTCCTGGGCCGGAGCGGGGTGCCCAGCCCCCAGGGACGGTGGACATTCACATGCACCCCACTCACGTGCTCACACCTCTTTTTTCTGAAGCACGTGATGAAGCTTGTTCTCTGCAGCTATTTTCTTTACGAAGTCTTTGGTTAACCCCCCCAGAGGGAAGATGGTTCTCCTCAGGGCGTCCTGGGAAACCTGGCTGAGAAAGAAGGTCTGGTCTTTAAAGCTGTCGGCTGCTTGGAGAAGTTTTACCGCTGCCAAGAGTAAAGAACAGAAGACGTTGCAGGAATGAAAACAGCGGTACTTCGCCTTCACTAGCGTCCCGCTCACTTACTCCCCCGCACACCACTGCAGCAGGAGCCTGCGGACACCGCCGCCACTAACGTGAGAAAAGGTTCTGGGCCAGCAGAGGACATGGTGGTGAAGGCGGCTGGATCCGACCAGGCAGCTGTGCAAGCTGAATCCCCGGCCCAGAGGTTTGAAAACATGTTAGGCGTGTGTACACATGTGCCCAAAGTCCTGAGAGGACAATGGAGAAGGGATCGCAGCACGATCACTCCCCTTGGGGGGTGATTTTTCAGCTTTCCTCCCTGTCTCTCTCTGACACACATGTGCCCTTTAACAACAAAAGAAACTTCCTAATTTTCTATTACAAAAACGGCCGAGCCATGGGGGGTTATGAGAGTTGAGAGACCAGCAGATGGCGTAATGGTTACACTGCTGGACTGCCACACAGTCGACTGCAGTTCAAGTCCTGGACTCAGCGACTTGAAACTCACCGCTAGGTTGTGTGCATGCATACCCAAGATCCCGAGGAGAATGGAGAAGGACGGACTGCGGTAAGATCCCCCAGGGGGTGCGATTTCTCACTTTCTGTCTCTCTGTCTCTCAAGTGAGTGCACGTGCCCTACAGCAAAAATCTCCCTTAAAAAACAAAGAGTGCTGCACGAGGTGGGGCCTGTGGGAGGCCTGGGGATGGGTCCCAGAGCAACCGAAACAGCCCACTGCTGGGAAGCCTGATGTCCCAGCCAGCCAAGAGGCGGGACAGGGCTGCCATGTGGGGAGACCCTAAGAACACCTCTCTCACCCCCTCCCCGTCTCCCCTCTCCCTCTCTCCCTCCCTCCTTCCTTGTCTCTCTCTCTCTCTTTATGCATACTCTGTCTCATTTTTTAAAAATTATTTAACTTTATTATAATTCTTTTTTTTTTTTGGTGGGGAGAGGTTTTTGCTATAGGGCGCGTGTGCTCACCAGAAAGACAGAGACAGACAGGCGGAAAGCGAGAAATCACCTCGCAGGGAGGATGGCCACGCTGTAATCCCTTCTCCTCTCGGGATCTTGGGCACGCATGCACACGTGCTCGGTGTGAGTTTAAGCCGCCGGGTCCGGGACTTGAACCGCAGTCAACTACATACGAGTCTAGCCACATAGCCATTGTGCTAACTGCTGGTTCCATTTTATTATAATTCTTCATAGAAGAACCACGTGAAAAAATGGTGAAGTGATTAAACAAATAAAAAATCAACCCTAAAATAAACTGGGCTAACTCTGGGAAAAAGGAGGAAGACAGCGACTTACACAATGCCCCTGAAATGCTGTAGCTGTTTCCTAACAGGCACTGGGCGGGGCCTCCCATGGCTGTCTGCAAGGACCCTAGCTCTCCCAGGTTCAACCCCGAGTGAAGAGCACCCCCTTCAGGACCACTCTCACGTTTTCATTTGCTATAGGTGCAAGCACTCCCCAGGGAGGGACGGAGACAGAGGGAAAGTGAGAAAATGCCCACAGGGGTGGCCACACCGCGATCCTTTCTCCTGTTCTCCTTCCGGGATTTTGGGCATGCATGCATATGTGCCCGGTATGCCTTTCAAGCCACCAAACCACACACCAGGCCATGTGGCATTCAGCCACCTCAGCCACCACACTGGCCCACACTCTTTTTTTGCTATAGGGCACATATACTCGGCCAGGGAGAGACAGAGTGGGAAATCAACCCCTGGGGGTACTGTGCCGCAATCCCTTCTTCTTCATTCCTCTGGGGTTTTGGTCACATATGCACACCTGCCTGGCATGATTTTCAAGCCCCTGGCCCAGGACTCGGTTCTGGTCACCTGTGGCCAGTCATGTGGGAGCCGAGCACCTTCACCACCGGCTGTCCTTCCACCCCTCACCCACACTCTGCTTTCAGATGCACTCTTCTTGGCAAAACCGTCTCTGCTTAGCCGGACTGCCTTTGCCAGCGCTCTGTTTCCTAACAGCCTCTATCTCATCAAGAGCCATTTTCAGCTTTAAAGCAACAGTGCAGAGGTGTGAGCAGCCTTGGCCGCGTGATCGTGGTCAGTGTATCCTGGGCCAGCTGAGTCGTGCCTGGCGTGCCCCGGAATGTCCACGGTGAGCAGTGCTGGCTGCCACGCTCATGTTCCACGATGAGTGGTAGCACGCAGACCGGCGGGACTACGGCTTCTTTCAACCTCTCCTCCAGGCTAGAATGCCCTGGTCCGGCACGCCACACACGTGACTGGCTTTGGGGGGCCACGGGCACCTCATGGCTTGCCAGTCATGCGTGCAGCTGTTTTCCACATCGACTGTGTGACGTACAAATGTCCCATGTCACAGACGAGAAACCTGAAGCTCAGACAATGGAAGTGACTCGCCCCAGATGATGCGAGAAGAGAGCGGAGGCTGGAAACGAGCCGTCTCCCAACTTCTGTTCTGCTGCTTGTCATGGACAAAGCTACGAGACCGACAGAAGGAAGTCGGAGCTTGGCTCCACGGTCCACACTCGGCAACGCCAGGAGGTGTGCAGGTCCCAGACCCAACTGCGACCGTGCTCCACCACGGGAGTCCTTGCAGCAGCGTGGCTCTGGGCTCCGCTTTTCACTCAGTCCTGGGCACAAGTGAGACCCAGGCTGGCAGCTCCCCAGCTCACTGTCTAGCCTTGGCCTTGCTCTAGAAGGTGAGCTCTGCGTCTGGGCACGTGTGGGCCACCCTGCACTGCCCTTTAGAAACAGCACAAAGCCTGGCACCAGACCTGCACTATCAAATTCTACCCGAACCTCCAGTTTTGGAAAACTAGAAATTAACTGAAAGGCCTCAGCTGAATTAGAGTACCTGGTAATGACTGTCAAGTATGTCCCAGATGGTTTTGGAACGTTCAAGTCACCAGCACATGGTCTAGAACCGGATTTTAAGTTTGTGACCTGCTTTTCCAGCAGCCTCGCCCTGACACCTGACCCAGATGTTTCCCACTGCCTAACTGCAGGCCCTCAGGGGCCCCTTCAAGTGTGAGTCCCAAACAGGTGAGTCTGGAGCACAGCAAAGGGGCAACGAGCACCTCAGACAGCTCCCTGCTAGTTTTCAAAACACGTGACTGTGCCCTGAAGAACCGAGCTCTGCCCTGGCACCCTAACTTACCATTTCTAACTTCAAATCGGTTTCGGAAAAGTCCTTCTGGCCTCTTAACGTGCCTCTGCTGAAAGACCTCTTCCTCTTCCAGGGACGTCCTTGCATAGTGTCCTGTGGCAATGGCATCTGCTCCTGCGAGGTCGTTAAAGACAGAGGGCAGGTTTAAGCAGGTGCTGGCCAGCCGCGGTGAGCCGAGCCCAGGAGCGACGGCACCATCAGACCCAGGTCTCCTGCAGATGCCAGGTCTTCTACACAGAGGGTTGGCTGGCCGGGACCCAAGGCCCAGGGAGGAGCGTGTGTAGCGAAGCTTGGCCAACAAGCAGCCTCTAACTCTTGTTTTGTTGTTGTTGTTGTTGTTGTTTGGAGAGGTTTTCACTATAGGGAGCGTGCGCTCGCCAGACAGACAGAGAGAGACATAGAGACAGAAAGCGAGAAATCACCCCCCCAGGGGGGATGGTCACGCCGCAATCCCTTCTCCTCCATTCTCCTCTCGGGATCTTGGGCACGCACGCACACGCGCCCGGCATGAGTTTTAAGCCACCGGGACGCGAACCGTGGTCAACTACGTGGGAGTCCAGCGACATAGCCATTACACTAACTGCTGGTTCCCAGCAGGCCTTCATCTTGTTCACTCTGCAGTCTCTTAGAGCTGAACGTGAATGCCAGGTTTGGTGTGTTCTTAGGTAACTAACCCCCTCAGTGTACTGCAATGCTATAATTAACAATAGCGATAGCATTGCAGTACACTGCGCTCCGTAGAGACAGGGCCGTGGCAGTGAGAGTCAGACAGGCACTGGGCGACTCTGCCTCAGATGAAAGATAACTAAACATGGGCAGAAGAGATCCTAAGAAGCCGAGAGGCAGAAAGAGCACAAGAAGAAGCACCCAGATGCTTCAGACAACTTCTGAGTTTTCTAAGACGTGCTCAGAGAGGTAGAAGACCACGTCTGCTAAAGAGAAAGGAAAGTTTGAAGATAGGGCAAAGGCGGACAAGGCCCGTTATGGAAAAGGAATGAAAACCTATATCCCTCCTAAAGGGGAAACAAAAGAGAAGTTCAAGGATCCCAATGTACCCAAGAGGCCTCCTTCGGTCTTTTTCTTGTTCTGTTCTGAATATCGCCCAAAAATCAAAGGAGAATGTCCTGGCCTGTCCATTGGTGACGTTGCAAAGGAACTGGCAAAGATGTGGAATCACACTGCTGCAGATGATGGACAGCCTATGAAAAGAAGGCTGCTAAGCTGAAGGGAAAATATGAAAAGGATATTCCTGCACACCGACCTAAAGGAAAGCCTGCTGCAGCAAAAAAGGGAGTTATCAAGAGAAGAGAGCAAGAAAAACAAAGAGGAGGAAGAAGACAAGGAAGAGAAAATGATAAGGAAGAAGAGGAAGATGAAGAGGATGTGGAAGAAGATGATGAGGATTAAGTTGGTTATAGCATTTCCCCCATCTATAAAGCATTTCTGGGGCACGCACGCACACGCGCCCGGCGTGAGTTTTAAGCCACCGGATTCGGGACGCAAACCACGGTCGACTACATGAGAGTCCAGCGACATAGCCATTACATTAACTGCTGGTTCCCCCAGCCTCTAACTCTTAATTCAAGCTGGCAGTAACCATCACACGACATCTTACTGACTCCTTCAGAGCCTTCACAAGTTAGCACCTCTTCGTTCACTCCGGCATGAGCAAATCAGTCAGCTCTGAGCACAAAAAGCTCCCCTCACAGTTCCTTGTGATACTAAAAGAAAGCTGAACGTAACCAAAATGTTCAACACTGGGAATGCAAAGCCAGTTACAACGCGCAAGACACAGCGGGGCACCCTCTCGGACACCTCAGACACCCTCTGGCCAGTACAGCGAGCTCCACCACCAGCCCCGGGCTCGGCCAGCCTGCGGCATCCACATCCCCAGATCTGCCTAGGAACGGCCGCGAGCCTGGTGTTCGGACCTTGTACTTGAGAATGAACCATTCGACCTAGTGAGCAAACTGTATTTCCCCATGCTCATGTATGTTTTTGCCTGACCCTATACCACACCAGCTAAGGGGGCCCGACCACACGGCGGACCCCAGTTCGAATCTCAGCCCCAGAGACTTGGAAAACATACCAGGTGTAAGCGTGGAGGTGCCCAAAATCCAGACAGAAGGGGAAACAGAGAAGGGACTAGGGTGTGACCACACCCCATGGGGGGTGATTTCTCCCTCTCCCCGTCTTTTTCTGGAAAGCATACACTCAGAGTTTCTGGTGTTGGCTCAGTATTCAAATTAAAGGCTTTTAAAAATATTTTTCATAAGGGGAGGGAGAGAGACAGAGAGAAAGAGATGGAGAGAGGAAGATAAAGAGGACATGTACTCTGTGGGGGTGTGGGGTTCTGACAGGGGCACCACCTTGCAAGCCTCCTGGTTAGCAAGGAGCACCGGGACACACCGCCAAGCTGGCCTGTTCCCACAGGACCGGGATCCCCAGCTGGGTCTCCATGCAGCCTCAGCCGTCATAAAGTGGCACCTACTTGTCCAACACGACCGGCCTTGACTTTGTTTTGCCCTCCTCATTCCACGAACCAGCCGTCCACCACCATCACCTCAGCGTCAGGGCACCAGTCGGACCTGCAAGCCTCGTCTCACTCACTACTGAAGCTCCAGCACAACGGGAGGCGGACAGAGAGGACACAGGTCCTGGGGTGTGGCCACGCGCAACAGGGCAAGCTGCATGCGTTGGGGAGAACTGAAAGGCCGCAGCCCAGACTTCAGGAACTCACCGCAGTGACCCCGAACAGAAGGCAGGTGAAAACCTGGGGTTCACTGAGAGGCAGACAAGCTAGCAGGTCAACGCCAGCAAGGCTCATAAAGGAATGGACGTCCTGGGCCCAGCACAGAGATGGAGGGGAGAAAGGGAAATTTAGGAACAGACCAACCTGCAGACTGGGTGGGCAGCGAGCTGTCGCCTGGAAGCAGGGCCTCGACCACAGCCGGGCTTCTAGAACAGGCCGCTAACACGTGAATTTGAACCCAGAAAAACAAAGGTGAGGGCACAGGATTGGGTAGACCAAATCTGTTCTTGGGAAGCATGAAGAGACCCTCAGTAGGACCAGCAGAGAGGGTGCCCTGAACTAGGGGCCATGGCACTGTCCTAAATACTGCCACACCCCAGCCAGAGTGTCTGTGAGGAAAGCTGACACACAGGTGGGGGCGAGGGCCCCAGGCAGATGCAGGGAGAGGTTGCAGGAAGAACCCAGGTGGGAAGCGCTGCAGATCACACAAGCCCTGTGAGGCCCACAGGCTTCCCGGCCACAGCTCAGGGATTGGAGACGAGCTCGTCTAAAGGCTGGGTGTCCTGCTGCGTCCCGTGGGCTACAGCCTCCCTGCACCGCCCAGACTCCCATGTACGGAGCACTGTCAGAGCAGCACTGCCCAGCGCCCTGCGCAGTCCGCCCAGCCCCCTTTGTCTGGCTCTGACCAGGCCTTTACGATCTCCACTGTCTGCGGCATTTCTCCAACGTTCTAACCTTCCGGTACATTTAGAGGCTCATCTGCTGGTGTTTTTCACAAACACTTCTTTCTTCTTGCTGTTGCACCTACGGTTACTCAATTCCACACCGGAACTGTGTTTCAGAACCTCCTCCTGGGCACTGCTGCCTCACCCTCTTGCTCATCTCTCACCAGGATTTTCTGCAATTGCCGAGCTGTAGCTGCCACTCACACACGTGCAGTCCACGGTGACAAGCCCTCCCTTACCAGGACCTGCTGCATGCATTTCACCAGGAAGTTCTTTTCAACTCAGTGAAATACAAAGTATCACCATTTCACTGGTTCCTTTCCTTCTGGAAGATAAAACTATTTACGAAGTTTTGCCTCTGGCTACCTCTGAAAACTCATCATTTATAAATGAATAAATAAATAACTTACCAAGATTATCCACAGCGTAATGAAAAAAGCAACTGAATTTGATATGCTTGTTGCAGACTATGTCGGGATTTGGCGTCCTTCCTTTTTCATACTCGTTCAAAAAATCACTGGAATAAAAGAGACTTTTCAGTTCTAAGTGTGAAAGATTCCTCAAAAAAAAAAAATGACTTTTGTTTACTTCAAATTTTTTTCTCATTTTTTTTAATTGTAAGTATTTTTATTTCTTCCAATAGCAAGAGAGCTATGACAGAGCAGACGTGCCAGCAGGGTCTTGGTGCTGCGACCCACCCGCAGCCTCAGCCAGCCGCGACCACAGGACACGCAGGCATGGTACACTGGGGCTCTAGACGTAGACCCAGAGTCTTCCTGGTGGGCAACCTCCTGGTTCATCACCGTACCCCTAACCAGCCCACAACTGCTTACATGACGTCACACCAAAACTGTCAGGGGCACTCCAGACTTTTCACCGAGCACCTGTTTACGTAGCACTCCTGCCTCCCGACTCTGAGATAACTAAGCCTGGATAAAAACCCAGTGTAAAATCTCCCCCACTGCTGCAGCTCAGGGGCCACTCCATCTCCCCACAGACGTGCAGGGCATGTGGGGTCAGGAGCAGCAGGGGCCATGGGGCTCTGAAACTCTTATTTCTGGGACAGGATATGCCTGTTCAAGTAGGAATAAAATAAAATAGTCTGGAGCTACAACTCAGGGCTCTGCCCGCCATGCCAGTCCCAGCCTGGGAACATGGGCTGCTGGGCCAACATGCCAAAAGCACTTTCCTAAAGTGATCAAAATGCACTGAGCACCTGCCAGAGCCCGAAGGCACTGAGTGACCCAGGCCCAGCTGACTCGGTCGGTTTTGGGTCTAACACAGCCGACCTGTGAGAAGGGTGCTACCATAACAGCAAGACCGAGCAAGAACTTCAGGCTTAGACCCGGCAGGGGTAGCACACCCTAACCAGGCAGGCTGATCCCTGGCCCACCTTCAAGCTGGATGTGGTAGCCAACACCCTATTCCTACCATCAGCTACTTGGGAGGCCTAGGCAGGGGGACTACGACATAGAGAGACTTTATCTTTTTTCTTAAGAGAGATTTTTTGGTTATAAAATGTGTATGCTCACCAGAGAGAGAGAGACACAGAAAGAGAGAAATCACCCCCAGGAGAGATGGCCATGCCAAAATCCCCTCTCCTTTATTCTCTTCTCAGGATTCTGGGCATGCACACATATGCACCCAACTGTGAGTGTTAAGTCACCAGGTCTGGGACTTGAACCACAGTAGACTACATGGGAGAAAAGTGATGTAACCATTACACCATCTGCTGGTCCCAAGACTTTGTCTTAAGAAAAACAAAGATGGGACCAGCAGGTAGCACGTAGGTTCAAGTTCCAAACCTGGTGGCTTGGCAATCATGCCAGGTGTGTGTGTGCCCAAAATTCCAAGAGTAAAGTGGAGGAGAAGGGACTGCAGCATGGCCGTCCCCACTGGGGGGTAATTTCTCTCTCTCTCCTCTCTCTGGTGAGCGTACATGCCCTACAACAAAACAAAAAGATAAAGTAAAAGGGGAAAAAAAAAGGATTTCATAGTCTTGAATGATATCCTTCAAAAGGATTAGGGGGGCCAGTGGGTGGCGTTGTGGTCGTTAAAGGCGCTGGATTCCCATATGGTCAACTGTGGTTCGAGTCCCAGACCTGGTGGCTTGCTTTCTCACTTTCCCTTTCTCTATCTTTCTCTGGTCAAATTAAAAAATAGTAACAACAAATGGAATTAAGTCAATAAATAATTCTTTTTGTTTGTTTGTTTTCTGAGAGGATTTTGCTACAGGGCACGTGCACTCGCCAGAGAGACAGAAAGCGAGAAAGCACACCCCCCCGGGGGGATGGCCACACCGCAATCCCTTCTCCTCCATTCTCCTCTTGGGATCTTGGGCACACACGCACTCATGCCCGGCGTGAGTTTAAGCCATGGGGTCCAGAACTCGAACCGTGGTCGGCTACATGAAAGTGCAGCGACACAGCCATTACGCTAACAGCTGGTTCAATAAATAATTCTTAAAAAAAAAAAAAAAAAAGGATTAGGACACCTACTTCAGGAGGATAAAATTGGGTATACTGGGTCAGCAGGTGGTGTGGTGTAGGTGCTGGATCCCACATGGCTGACTGCGTTGAGACCTAGATCCGGAGGCCTAAAAAAACACATCGAGCACATGTGCACGCATGCCCATAATCATGAGAGCATGGAGCGGGGACTGCGGTGCGGCCATCTCTCCGGGGGGTAATTTCTCACCTTCCCTCTTTCTGTCACTCTGTGTCCCTGTCCAGCGAGCACAAGTGCCCTCTGGCAAAATTACAAAATAAAATAAAGGTGTATTTTTGATATATGTAATTTTTTTCGTTTACCCTACAGCTCTCCATTAATCACTGAGGGTTAAACAGACCGCACTGACTGGCAGGGCTGCATGGCAGACTGGCCCCAGATCTGAGGGACTGTGCAGGTCCCTGCGCATCTTCTCCACCGCAGTGCTCAGTGCCAGACCATCTTCATGGGGTCCCAGCACCTGTCCCTCCCCTGAGAGCTCAGAAACTCAGCTGTCCCGTGTTTGCAGTAACACTTGTGGTATTATTACGTAGTCCGGATTTTATTTATTTGCTAGAAAGTCGTCAGGAGGCACATTAAACTGTAAATAAGTTACTTGGTAAGAGCCATGACTCCTGTGACCACAAACCCAACAAGCTTGCTAGGCAACAGGAAACGCTGGGGTGGACTGTGGAGTCAAGACTCTGCTGGGGTCTGGCTGGCTCTCACTCTGGGAAGAAGGGAATGGAAAAACAAAATGAAAACACAGACTCCAGTCCTCCGGCCCAGGCCCGGGGATGTTCATAAGCCCCTGTAATCCGCTGCCCCATGGGTTCGTCCCTGGGCCCGCCAGGGCCAGTGTCCCCCACCCCACTCCCACACCCCAACCTGTAGCAGCAGCACTTCCTCAGACCCCTGCTGCATCTCCTAGTCATCTCGTTAACAACAGAGGTGGCAGCAGCGACGCTCACAGTGGTCACTGGGCACCGTGCTGAGACCATGTGTGCCTCACGGACTGCTCTCGGGAGCACCGCGAGGCACTGCTAGCACCGTCCACACTGTAAGGACGAGAAAACTGAGGCTCAGAGAAGTCGACTGCCCCAAGTCGCTTCATCAGTGGCAGAGCCAGGACTGGCCCTGGAGCCCCACCAGGAAAGGGCAGCCCTGTGCACACGGCCTGCTGCTGCCTCAGATGGCCCTGGCACTGCCTTTCCCAGGTCAGGACTCACCTTGGACTAGTGCTGGGCGCCTCCCCCCACCATGCGCCCCAGCAGAAACTAGGGCCCAGCGACTTTACCACAGCCCTGGGATCAACAGGAGTGTCTCTCCTCCTCCAGGCTGCTCCTGCCACCCCAAGTGGAATGTCTGCTCTACTCTTGTTACTTTCAAAGTCCTCCCCTTCCATGAGGCCTTCCTGACCACTCCACATTCCACGCTAATCCCCCCTCCTCCCTACCTGCAGGCTTCAACAGAATCCCAGGATTTCCTGCAAGCCGCTCACCACCACCACCGCCTCTTGGGAACACCACGCCCTCCCCAACTGGCCTGCGGACTGCCGGAGGGGCCATGGCGAGCCCATCTTTACGTCCCTGGACGCAGCACGGAGCCAGCATGCAGGACACTTAGCAACTGCGGGACTGTCCCAGACTGCAGGGAGGTTTCTTTCCTATTTTCTGAAGGCACGGGCAGTGGACCACTTAACTCGCTCTCAGAATCTCCCTACTTACTGACCCACACAGGTCGCGGGCATTGGCACCTTATGGCACCTTCCACAGAGACTCCAACCTTAGTACCCCCAAATTAAGCAGCAGAATACCCCAAAAATTCAGAGATGCATGATGGAGACTTCTGGCAAGTGGCAAAATGACTGCCAGGGCTACTGCAGGACCCAGCCCTCGCCTCTGACCCTGGTCCCCATGGGCAGCCCATGCCAAAGAACGCTGGGCTCAGCTCCATTCATCTGGCTGACTATGCAGCCTCCTGCTGGCATGAGCGCACACACGTCAGGAAGCCCCCCACGTGCCGAGGCCTGCCCTCACCTGAACACTTCGTTCCAGTACTCCTTCACGTAGGACACCTGATGGAAAGGGATGTCTAAGACCTGGCACACTCTGTAAGCATCCTCGCAGTCTCTGTCGGCCGTGCACACTCCGTGCTCGTCCAGCGAGTCCCAGTTCTTCATAAACACCCCTGTCACTTGGTAACCTGGGGGAGGACGAAGGTAAACAAACGAGGCTACAGCAAGCAGCCGTGGGTAAGAGGCAGTGACTTCTAAATCCCAAGCAGTTCCCCGCAGGCCAGCCTGCCTGCCAGTCCCTGCTTGCCACGAGGCCTCCCGAGCTCACGTTTACACCATAGCTTAGCCACGAGAGGCTGTCCGTCTCCGCAGTCCATGCCACACCGCGGGAAGGGCTCCGTCATCACCAGCCATTACCAGACTGAGATGGCTCCCCGTGTCTCGAAGACGAGGAAGATGATGTTTGTACCTTCCTTTCCCCACTGCCATGTTGGCAATGCCCGTACACGGGAGAGGTTTAGCAGATGTGCGCTGAGTGGGAGTGAGCAGCTGAAACTCAGTGCGATTTTCAAAGCAAATAAAAACCACCACTCAGTTTTCAGAAAAGTAAACTCAGTTCCAGTTATTTCTAGCTACCATTCTAAGCCAGCGGATAAAACGACAAGTAAAATTCTGGATCTTTTTTAAAGGGCTGTACTGCCTATATATTTAATGACACCCCCCCACACACACACACACACACACACACTCTATGACAAAGAACCCAATCAAATACTGGAAAGGCCGACTTTAGCCTCACACCATCTAAGCAACCATGCAGGTGTCCATGCTGAGAAAACTGCTTCTTTTGGGAAGGCGAAATGTAATGAAGATGAGC